TAAAATGTAGCTTAGAATTCTGATGGAAATGATGACAGTTCCTACATTCATCAGGTTTTCAGAGCATTAAAAATCCCACTATGTCTAATTATTAGTCTTTAAGCATTAGAATTAGTTGACTGAAATGCATTTACATACCAGTGACTTTCTTTGTGCCTAACTATGTCTTATTACATGTAAAAGTGAATTATCTTTAATCCGTAAACGTCCAAACGTAAAATATACTTTTTTTCAACATTTGAAAGTATGTAAAAAAAGTAGATCTTCTTTTTGTTTTTTACATTTGAAAATGTGTAAAAAAACTTTGATCTACTTTTTTTTGTTATATTTGAAAATATGTAAAAAAAACGTAATCTACTTTTGTAGCACTACACGAGAACGTAGATCTGCTTGGACCGTTTACGGTTAAACAACATAAAAGAAATATTTGAAACCTGAGTGTTTCCTTGAACAGATGTGAGAAGAATTTTTTTTTTTTTTTACAGTATGAATCCTGTACACAGCTGGTGATGCCCATCTGTCACTCAGCTGGTGTTGAGCTATCACTCAGCTGGTAATGATCCATCTATCACTCAGCTGGTGTTGCTTCATTCACTCAGCTGGTAGTGTTCCTTTAATCACTCAGCTGGTACTATTCCCTCAATCACAAGCTGTCCACTGTACCTATGATTTTAATGTATTACCCAAGTTATACTAACTTAAATTTTATTCTAGTAGTAAGACTTATAATTAGTTTGTCCAAAACACATATACATGTATAACTATTGTATTTCATAGGGCTAATAACCCTTTCTCCTGTATAAATCAGTCAACACAAAAAGAGGAAAAGATTTTGTTTCTTCTTTTTTGGGTCAGCCTGCCTCATTGGGAGATGACCAATGAGTTAAAAAATCTACTGTATTTGTATTGCTCTTTAAAAATAAATACAGTAGACCACCATTTAACATGGTAGTTAGGTTCCGGAAAACGTTGGGTTAGGTAAACCTGTGTTAGATGAACTGAAGAACTTATGGGGAAAAATAGGGTTACGTACTTGGCAGCCCCCCAAAAAGCCAAACAACTTTTTTTTTAAACCAACGATCTTACAAAAATAAAAGGAATATGTTCACTGTCGTGATGTATTATGTTGTTTTCACTGTCGTGATGTATTATGTTGTTTTCACTGTCGTGATGTATTATGTTGTTTTCACTGCTTAAGACTACAAATGCAACAGAAATAACAGTATGTTTTACCTTAAATTGTGGGTGCTGGTGTTTGTCGATAATTGTGAAGAGAGTGGAGAGGTATGGTGTGGCCCTACTGGGCTGAGGCTAATGGTAGAGGTTCTGGTACTGAAGTCGATGGTTGTACTCCAATGTGCATAAATTCTGTAATGGATTTCTGTTCTATTTTACCCTGCAGTACATTATACAACTGACGGTAAGGCATCAACTGCCATTTCAGGGTACTCATTCAGTCGTTCAGCAAGTCAGTTAAGTCATTTAGTCAAGTCAGTAAGTCTGAATATTCAGTCAAGTCAGTAAGCCATTTGGTCAAGTCAGTAAGTCATTCAGTCAAGTCAGTAAGCCATTTGGTCAAGTCAGTAAGTCATTCAATCAAGTCAGTAAGTTACTCAGTCAAGTCAGTCAAGTCAATAAGTCAAGTCAGTAAGTCAGTCAAGTCAGTAAAGTCAATCAGTCAGTCAAGTCAGTAAGTCATTCAGTCAAGTTAGTAAGTCATTCAGTCAAGTCAGTAAGTCATTTGGTCAAGTCAGTAAGTCATTTGGTCAAGTCAGTAAATCATTTGGTCAAGTCAGTAAATCATTTGGTCAAGTCAGTAAGTCATTCAGTCAAGTCAGTAAGTCATTCAGTCAAGTCAGTAAGTCATTCAGTCAAGTTAGTAAGTCATTCAGTCAAGTCAGTAAGTCAGTCAGTCAAGTCAGTAAGTCATTTGGTCAAGTCAGTAAGTCATTTGGTCAAGTCAGTAAATCATTTGGTCAAGTCAGTAAATCATTTGGTCAAGTCAGTAAGTCATTCAGTCAAGTCAGTAAGACATTCAGTCAAGTCAGTAAGTTATTCAGTAAGTCATTCAGTCAAGTCAGTAAGTCATTCAGTCAAGTCAGTAAGTTATTCAGTAAGTCATTCAGTCAAGTCAGTAAGTCATTCAGTCAAGTCAGTAAGATTTAAGATATAGCAATTAAAATGTGTATGTAAAGAAACAGCGAGCTTCCCAAGTACATTGGACCACCGGATTACGAAATTAGTCCGTTCCAGAGAGAGTGACTCACCCCAAATCTGACTTATTCCGAACAAATTTTCCCAAGAAATAATGAAAATCCAATTAATCCGTTTCAGATACCCAAAAGTATTAAAAAATGTTTTCTACATGAAATATACATTTACCTACGCAGAAAACAATGATATATGAAGAATAAAACAATAACAACAACACACTTACCTTTGTTGAAGATGTGATGATGTATGGAAGACAGGAGGGAAGAGGATAGAGGAGTTTACAACTATTTGGAAGGGAAATCCCCTTCCATAAAGACTTCAGGTACCAAGTCCTTATCCTGGGTTACTTCCCTCCTTTGTTTTTTAATGCCACTAGGACCAGCTTGAGAATCACTAGACCCCTATCGCTCAAAAAAGTGTTCCAGAGACGTCTGTTTCTGGCATATGACAGGAATTGTGTTGGGAGACAGGACAATATAGTTCTTCAATATGACACTAATATCAGCTCTATGGATTATTTATCTAGCACAATTCATCTAAAATGACATAATAAACAATATTAATAACATAGAAACATGATATATACACTAGAATGAATAAAATATGGCATTAAGAATGTCACGAGTGGTGGTGTGTTGTTTGTTGTTGGGCCACTGAAAGATAAGCCTTACATAGTGGTTGTGAAGACGGTGGTGTTAGTCAGTAGCCCTATATACCTCCAATAACAATGGAGGAGTCAGTTTTGTGCTGTCCTTTTCTATTGATTAATCGCATAACTTACTTGCTACAGTTAATGCTACATTTTATCGTTGACTGCCACTATAGCCTTTATAGTCTCCTGCTCTTTTAGTACCGTACATGTTGCAGAATCACTTAAAAAGGCACATTTTCCCCTCTCTCTCAGCCCTTTACCAAAGGGCTGGCTGGCATTAGAAGCTTTCTTTGGGCGCATGGTGGCTTATTTAGTAGTTACAAGCACTAAAAACAATGAAATAATACAAAATGCATCGTATGAATGCGTGGGATCATCCTCACTGGCTGGTAAACACTGGCACACTGGGCCACTTAGGCCCCGACACTAATGACTTATACCGAGTTCAGTGACATTCACCAAGCCAATAATATTTTGACGGAAAAACGTTACTTATTCTGATTACATCTTAATCCAGGGGTTCACTGTATCTGTCCTACGTGCGTATGAACCAAACTGAAGGCTAAGAGGGTGGTGTGGGTGGCTGAGGGTGGCGGTAGGTCTCCCCCATTGACTCAATGGTGTAACCCACCATGGGCGACCACGAGCTCAAAATTTTTCCCACCTCTCACAAACCGTGTTAAATTAATTTTACATGTTGTGTTACATAAAACTGTGCCTCAATTCTTCAATTGTGATATATCCGAGTGCCAAGTAAACTCGTGTTAAATGACAGTCTACTGTAATGTTAATTCTTTTAATTCAGTTTTAAGTATTATTGCAATGAAACACTACCACTCTGGAATGATTGGTGGCATGAAATGCAATGGAGCTAAAAAATTGAATCAAACATGAAAATATCACAGGAAAAAATTATTAACCAGCCTACAGATGATGGGATGTAGAAGGCATGGGAAGTGCTTCATCCATCTGACTGCTTCATTAATGTCTTCTCTGAAACATTTATTTTGGTCGGTTACTCTGGTAAATTACATGTTTTATTAATCTCCCTTAACATTCTTTGCCTGAGCCAGCACCATTAAATTGTAAAAACATGTTGAAGTATTAATTCTTTCACTGCCCAATTCCCCAAAATTAAAATTGCTCACAGTGTTCACATTTAAAAAAAAAATTCTTCTAAAATAATAAGAGAATCCTTTTCTGATGGTAATGACACAAAAACTCGTATGAAATATGATGGAAAAACTTATGGAATTACACAGGTGGAAAGTTAGTGGTGTTGGAGCAAATAATGCTTTGGTAACCAGTTAATGCTCCAAATCAGACTGAAATGTTATTCTTTTATGTAAAGATTATCTATGTATTGTTCCAGTCATGGTAGTGTGCCTTTTCATTCTTTATTTTTTGTGCTTTACAGTACATACTATAAAGTTTTTTAACCTCTATGAAATTTTAGAGAAACTGTAATCTCTCTGACACAAAATCTCACTCTTTGGTGCTGCTCTATAAGAGAGTTTACTGTACTTGGAAAGTGTTGAGAAATTAATGAGTTAGCAACACTAAGTGTTGCTAAGTGGTATTGCTATATGCTTGAGTTGGGCTAGCTAGCTTCTACTGGCTTCAAGGGTTCAATACCTTGAATCAAGGTACTGAACCTCTGAAGTGCCTTAGTCTGACTGATAACTGGGACAACATTTAAGCTTAGACTTTATATAGAGGTGTGAAAAATACAACAAATATTACAGAAAGGAAAATAGTGAGAAAAAATAACAATACAAAAGCATATGCAATATAAGCACTTGTAGAAAGAATGTTACATGGTAATATTATTAATTTTATTATATATTATTAAAAGATATCTGATTTTATGTTACCCCCCCACCAAAAAAAAAAAAATGTGAATAAGAAACACATTATAATTTTTTATAATACTACATGCCTCTGGCAAGACAGTGATGGTGTGAACGATGGTGAAAGTGTTCCTTTTTCGGGTCACCCTACCTTGGTGGGAGATAGCCAGTGTGTTAAAAAAAATTTTACATATTGCATATAAAACAAATTACGACAGGAATTATTTATTGTTTTAATTAATTTTCATAACAGCATTTATTGAAACAACTCTGACTGAAATTACTTGTTGAGGAAGATCGAGGGAAGCAGTCATCTCTGTCACCATTGACTTCCATGGTGTTATTTTTCTCTGGACATTATAAAGAGATTCCTGAGGACCATCCTGTTCCTCCGGTGGAGAAGATTCACCTGTGAGACACACTGTGATTACCTTCTCAAAATTATTTATAAACAAGAAAACCTTACCTTACATATTCCATTCCTTGCTTAAAAAAAGTATTTGTTTAGAAATCAAGAGAAAGCAGGAAAGTTTCATTTCAAACATGTTCATACTGCAGTTCACCAATTGTATAATTATTTTAACTAGTTGTCAAATGTCCAGATATGTGTAACTTGAAGAGTCCATAAGACAGGGCCTCCAGTAATGTCATGCACAAATCTTAATGTGGAAGACAAGTCAACATCTTAGTCATGCCAAACAAATTTCTGTGAGAGGAAGTCTGCCAATGACTAATCAAAATACGTTAAGTTAATGATAAAAAACAGCTGGAGAACCTACCACTTACAATGAAAAACTTTACACCACCAATCTTCACCAAGACCAAGAAGCTTTACACGAACAGTCTTCACCAAGACCAAGAAGCTTTACACCAACAGTCCTTACCAAGACTATGAAGCTTTACATCAACAGTCCTCACCAAGACCAAGAATCAATCAATCAATCAATCAATCAAGTTTATTCTCTATAAAGATTACAATGCTGGATGTACAGATTTTGGATATTGTGTGGTTTACATGTTATAAAACACTAATTATAGAGGGGGACACTATGACACCGAGCATGGCTAGGCATTTTGGGCAGACTTAGAGTAATTCTTAACTCTAAATTATTACATATTATGGAGTAAGTTGGTATTAAGGCTAAGTGACTACATTATAGTTTGTGAATTTATCAATGTGAATGCTTTTGTTTTGGTACAATACATAGTTTCTATACTGGAGTATCACAGGCAAACTTATGACTAGTTAGGATACATTATTTTAAGATTAAGATTTGTATTTCTGGGTTTATAGTCACCAAGACCAAGAAGCTTTACACCAACAATCCTCACCAAGACCAAGAAGCTTTACACCATACACAAATAACCCGCACATAGAAGAGAGGAGCTTACGATGATGTTTCGGTCTGACTAGGACCATTTAACCCTTTGACTGTTTCAGGCCCCTCTCTGAAACTGTCATTCTATGTCGCTCAATTTTTGAAAAAAAAAAAAATTATTTTTTCTTATGAAATGATAGAGAATCTTTTCCCGATGGTAATGACACCAAAAGTTCGAAATTTGGTCGAAAACTCGTGGAATTATGCTCCCGCGAAGTTAGCGGTCTCGGCGACATATGCGTATCGGCGATTTCGCCGACTTTGAGCCCTATTTTCAGCCAATTCCATTGTTCCAGTTGACCAAACTCATAGCTATTTCTTTAGAAACTCCATTTTATCTATCAGCTGAGTACAAGAAACCTCCCATTTACTAATTTGGACTACCCAATATGGTGGTCAGAAATTGGCAATTTGGCCAATTTCACGCGAAATAAAAAAGATGCCAATTTCAAAATAGGGTCCAGAATAAACAAGGTAGACATTCATGGCACTAAAATAACATATGCTCTGTTCATTAGTCACATCTCTAGGCCCCTCTTATATTATTATTGCTTTCTATTTTGATTTTTTATTCATACAAAAAAATACAAAATTTACTGTTATGCAGACGACTGCATTATTGTAAAAATGGTATAAATAATATCAGTGCACTAGTGAAAGAATATTAGACTCCCCAGTTGACGTGTATTGGACGTGTGGTGTGATTTATTCACTCTTGAACATTGGTAAAAATCGAACATTTCTGCTACTTTGAGCTCAGTTTCAAGGTCGTTTTCATCGTAAAAGTAATGAAAATCATCTCTATTTCTGTAATATGTTTTCCATTTTATCACTTAAGACCATGAAAACGCGAATACAACGATAAATACTATACGAAAATACACCTCAAAGTCGGCGTTTTATTCCAAAAAAACGATCAGAGTTTTTTTTTTCTCATTACGCAATGTGTGCTGCAGGATTTTTTTTATGTGGTGCACACTGACCACACAGACCCATTCTCTCACATGTGGGCCTACCAGCTTTCTCCCACTTGATTTGAAGCCGCTAGAATTATTGAGTATATATACGTCAGAAACATTGGCTCGTAAGACGTATTTATACGTCGAAAACAGTCAAAGGGTTAAAAAGTCACACTGCCAGACCGAAATTTCATCATAAACTCCTCTCTTCTATGTGCGGGTTATTTGTGTATCGTTCCAGTCACGGTATTGTGCCTTTTTTGGTTATTTAAGCTTTACACCAACAGTCCTCACCAAGACCAAGAAGCTTTACACAAATAGTCCTCACCAAGACTATGAAGCTTTACACCAACAGTCCTCACCAAGACTATGAAGCTTTATGCCAACAGTCCTCACCAAGACCAAGAAGCATTACACAAACAGTCCTCACCAAGACTATGAAGCTTTACATCAACAGTCCTCATCAAGACTACAAAGCTTTACACCAACAGTCCTTACCAAGACTATGAAGCTTTACATCAACAGCCCTCACCAAGACTATGAAGCTTTACACCAACAGTCCTCACCAGGACTATGAAGCTTTACACCAACAGTCCTTACCAAGACTATAAAGCTTTACATCAACAGTCCTCATCAAGACTACAAAGCTTTACACCAAAAGTCCTAACCAAGACTAATAAGTTTTACATCAACAGTCCTCACCAAGACTATGAAGCTTTACACCAACAGTCCTCATCAAGGCTACAAAGCTTTACACCAAAAGTCCTGACCAAGACCAATAAGTTTTACATCAACAGTCCTAACCAAGACTATGAAGTTTAACACAACAAAGTGAAAATTCACAAACAAGCTACAACATGGTTCCCAGAAGTAAAAAATACAAGTTACTACAAAGAAAAGCTTTAGATCTGCACAAACTAGCTGAGGATCTGTTAATTTATGCAACAGCAATGTGGAGAAGTGTAAAGTCCTATTCTTTGAGAATTAAATATAAACCTGGCACTTACACTGTAATACATAGTTTGATCCAACAGAATGTGGAAAAAGAACTTTTGAGTTATAGTAAGCAGATATCTGAAGTAAAGGCAACAGTGACTAAACATCAATAATAAGGCGAATAGACTGCTTGAAGTTACATGAAGAAAAAAAAAACAATGTTATTCGACAGCTCTACACATTTAGATTTTGCAGTGAGGTTATGGTCTCCATACTACAGAATATATATAAATTCATTCAAAAATATAAAGACAAATTAATCCACTGTATAAGGAATCTTAAATACAAAGTCTCTTGAAAGATGGAGAATGAGGGAAGATACAACTGAAGTACACAAATGGATGACAGGCATAAATAAAGGATATATAAATAGGGTACTGACAATAACTAACAAAGAAAGAACTTGAAACAATGGATAAATTCAGATTTAGGAAGGATATAGAAAATTACTGGCTTGAAAACAGAATAGTGAAATTATAATTTAGAAAAGAAGTTGTGGACAAGTGGAACAATCTGCCAAGTAGAGTGACTGGAGCTAGCACCTTGGGTAGCTTCAAAAATAGGTTGGACATATATATGACTGAGAAGGGTAAGGCTTGAGAAGGAAATGCCTAGGAGCCAGTAGGTTTACTGAAGCATTTCTTCATTCATTCTTACGTTCTTAACCCTTTGAGGGTCGACAGGCCCTCTCCGAAACTCGTTCTCAGGGTCGGCCAAATTTAAAAAAAAAAAAAATTATTTTCTCTTATGAAAAGATAGAGAATCTTTTCCCGATCATAAAGACACCAAAAGTTTGAAATTTGATAGAAAACTTACGGAATTATGCTCTCGCAAAGTTAGCGGTCTTGGCGATGTTTACGCATCGGCGATTTTGCCCACTTTGAGCCCCATTTTCGGCCAATTTCACTGTACTAGTCGACAAAAAACATGAATATTTCGCTAGAACTACATTTTTTCTATCGAATGAGTGCAAGAAACCACTCATTTATGAAATTCAACTATCCAGTACAGTGGTCAGAATTTAGCAATTTTGCCAATTTCACACAAATTTCAAAAGATGCCAATTTCCGAATAGGGTCCAGAATATACAAGAAAGACATTCCTGGCACTAAAATGACATTTCCTCTAGTCATTAGTCATGTCTCAAGGCCCCTCTTATATTCTTTTGCTTTCCACTTTGAATTTTTATTTTCACAAAAAATATAAGATTTACTGTTATGCAGACTACTGCATTAGTGTAAAAAATGGTATAAATATTATTGGTGCACTTGTGAAAGAATATTAGACTCACCAGTTGACGTGTATTGCACGCTTGGCACGATTTGTTTACTTTTGAAGTTTGGTAAAAATCGAACATTTCTGCTATTTTGAGCTCAATTTCAAGGCACCTTTCTTTGTAAAACCAGTCAAAATCATCCCCAATTTCTGTAATATGTCTTCCATTTTATAAATGAGACCAAGAAAACTAGAATACAACAATAAATACCATACGAAAATACACTGCAAAGTCGCTGATTTATTCAAAAAAAATGGTCAAAGTTTTTTTTTTCTCATTATGCATTGTGTGCTGCAGGATTTTTTTTAGACTGTGCACACTGACCACATAGACCCATTCTTTCATATGAAGGCCTACCAGCTTTCTCCCACTAGATTTGAGGCCGCTAGAATTTATGAGTACTAGTACGTCAAAAACCCCTACGCGTAAGACGTACTAGTACGACGAAAACCCTCAAAGGGTTAATAGTAATAGTAATTAAAAAAAATATGCTGCAACTGGTTTATATATAGCAAACCTGTAATTGAGAAATATAATACCACTGTTGCTACTCCATAATTCTGAAAATAAGAATATACAGCAATGCAGTGTTAGGAGTGAGGTATGGAAACAGAAAATGTGTAAACAAACGACATATAAAAAATAATCTGTGACAGAAATGTGTATGTACAAGGGTACAAGTACCTACTTCTCATTTCCCAGTTTTTCATATTCAATTTCTGTATTAATGGAAGAATTAATTAACCCCTTAACTAGCATTCCAAACGTAGATCAACACTATTTTTCCTGCTCAGAATTT